GTTCTGGTGGGGTTCCTTGGAAAAGGACGTTAGATTATTCGTTGGGTCCTGCACCCAATGCTCCCTGGCCAAACCCTCTCGACGTCCTCCAGCGGGTCTCCTGAGACCACTCCCCATTCCTTCACGCCCATGGTCTCATATTGCTGTGGATTTTGTCACTGGCCTGCCACAGTCTGGGGGTAAGACGGTCATACTTACCATTGTGGATCGATTCTCTAAAATGATTCATCTCACAGCCCTGCCTAAGCTACCCACGGCAGCGGAATTAAGTCAAGTTTTTTTGAGAGAAGTCTTTAGACTTCATGGTCTACCTAAAGACATTGTGTCAGAGGTCCACAGTTCATCTCAAGATTTTGGAAGGAGTTTTGTTCAATGTTGGATATAAATCTAAGTCTCTCCTCAGGATTTCACCCCCAGACTGACGGCCAAGCTGAGAGAGCCAACCAGGAGTTGGAGACCCATCTGAGAATTCTGTGTGAGGATGACCCAACAAAGTGGTCCGAAAACCTCTCCCTGGTGGAACACGCCATCAATGTCCTGCCATCTAGTGCCACTGGTCATTCCCCCCTACTATATAGTGTATGGATTCCAGCCACCGGTGTTCACCATCCACGAGCGAGCTGCCCAGGTACCCTCAGCCCACCGTTCTGCTCTTCGCTGTCAGAGAGTCTGGAGAAAGGCCAGGAAGGAACTGGTGAAGTCCTCTCTGGTTACTACCAAGACGGCCAACAGAAGAAGAGTCCCGGCTCCACAGTACAAGGAGGGGGATCAAGTGTGGCTGTGTACGAAGGACCTACCTCTGAGAATCGAATGTCGCAAGCTCGCTCCTCGCTTTGTGGGCCCATTCCCCATCTCTAAAGTYGTGAACCCGGTGGCGGTCAGACTCAGACTCCCTGGTTCCATCAGGGTTCATCCTACTTTTCATGTGTCCCGGGTCAAGCCCCTGGTCCAGTCAAGGTTTACGCCCTCCTCCAAGCCCCTGGTCCAGTCAAGGTTTACGCCCTCCTCCAGGCCCCCTCCTC